TTCCCATGCGCCAGCCAGGGCCTGGGAAGTGGTTTCCCACGGAGCTCCCAGTGCCCATCCCAGCTCCCCCCATGCCCCTCCAGGGCAGCCCCGGACTTGCTCTTCTAAAGCAAGGACATGGAGATTAGAGACACGCTCTGATGCCGAGACATCCAGACTTCAAAGGGCAAAGGGCTGAGCTGTCCACCCCTCGTATTTTTTTCCGTAAATATACTTAACAGTCACCCCTATTTCACACTTATGCAGGTAAGAGTGAGAGAGTGTTTAAATATTACACAGAGTTTTCTGTTTACAGCAAGGCACCTCTGCGCTCCTAACTGGCATCTGAAGGTCAGTTCCCAGCCTGCTGCCGAAACCGGAGCCAAGCCAGAAGCAGGGGGTAAGCGGGCAGCACCCCAGCTAACCCAGGGATATCCAACATCAGCATCAGGTCACCACCTTCACAGGGGGCAACTGCAGCGCCAGGCCGAGACCCACACCCACGACTGGGTACCTTTTGCCCACACCTCACGATTGCCCTTGTATAAATATACAGGTTTCCTTTGCATCTGAAGAATCCAGGTTTCTCCGCAGTCCTGGGATCTCTCAGGGACTGATCCTACCACAGCAGAAGACATAAACACTAAGTTTTAACAAGCCTTCCCCCCCCCCGCCAAATGGAAGTAAAAGAAGGATTTGAAGAAAAAAACAACACAACAAAGGAAGATCTTTTAAAATACATTCTCTTATTTCATACTACTGCTTTATAGCAATGCTCTAACACTGTCACTGCTGCTGAGAGCACGCCCCTTTACCGAAATCCATTTCTCTAAACACCCTTTCCCTCCTCCCCCCCCCTTTTAAAAAAAAAAACAAAAACAAACAAACAAAAAAACCCCCACAAAACTCCTTAATGCTGCTGTTGTTAGACCACAAGTGATGAAAGTACACACATCCCTGCTTGCTGCTGGCTAGAAAATTCAGCACAGGACGACAGACACATCCCTGCTCCTCTCTTTCTAAGACCATACCTACATATTATTCTATCTGGTTTGCTTCTTTCTTTGTTCTTCTGGTGTTTGACAGAGCGCTTTATATGATTAAGTATACCACCAAATGTTCTGACAATCAGTATAAAGTTTTAGTAAGGTCCTTACATAAATAAGTTACAGAATGAAATTATGTTGAAACTAATTCGGTGAAAAGGCAGAAAAATAATGTCCCAAATAAAAGAAACAATGACACTGCAGTTAAATGATGAACCATTTTAAAAATAGCTTAACACATAATTTTGGACTCCCAGAACTTCCACAGAGCACCTTATTAGAATAAATTTCTTTTATGCCTCCTTTTTATATAATTTGGGGGGGAGGGGAAAACAGGCCACTTCTCATCTCATCCATCATCAGTTTTTTCCTAACATAAAGGAAATCTTATCAGCCACAAGGAGAGAAGCAGACCAGCTGTCACATCCACGATGAGTCTTTCACGTTGGGAAAAATTGCTGGGGAAAAAAAAAAAATGCCAGGGTACCCATCTGCTAGAACTCGCCCAAGAGGATGGCAAATGAATCTCCTGAACGCTACAAATGCAGTGCTTCCGAAACACATCCTTCAATCAGCTAGCCAATACCGGACTCCGAGGAATCGCTGCGTTCCGTTCCGCAGCACGGATTCGGCACCGTCGGACCAAGAAACAGATGAGCCCGACATGACTGTGAGAACCGCTGAGTGCAAGTGGAAAGAGAGAAAAGCGGAGGAGGCGGTGGTGCGCAGAGGTAACAAAGCCAGCACAGAGAAACCAGCCAGAGCCTTGCTTTACCGCTGGCTTCAACCCCTGCAGCATCTATTTCCAGACTTTTTTTTTGGGGGGACACGCTTGTTCAGAGGGGTTTGGTTTTTTAGGGCTTTTGGTTGGTTTCTTTGCTTTGCTGTGGGTTGAGTTTTTTTAGTTTCATGGGGATTTTTCTTTTAGTTTTTGTTTTGTTTTGTCTTTCCTGTTTTCTTAAACATCAAAGCCTGAATTAAATTTACAAATGTAAAAAAACCCAACAGTTCTGGACATTTTTCACTGTGGAAGAATATGAACACTGGATGCAGGATTTAATAGCTTTATTATTCCTCCCCTCCTAAATCTTATTATTAACACATCAGAGCTTATGGAAATTACCACGATACTAGAAAGGGTTCATAAAGAACTCATAAAACGGTCTCAGCTACAGTCAGTTTTAAAATATCTTGCAGGAACATGTGCTGTAGGTTAGGAAATTCATAGCTTTGCTGAGGTACCTGCATTACTGCATGCAATCATTCACAGGCAAAACCAATATAAGTAAATGACGGATTATACCTGTAAAGTATAACTCGTGCTTTGAAAACATCTTTCAGAAATATTATGGACTACATGATATCGCAATCGAGATGTTCTGGAAGAAAAAGAAAAGCTGCAGAAATCAGGAATTGTGGATTCTGAACGGATTGCGAATCCCAAACGAGATCACAACCCACACATTCTGCTTGCATTCAACAGCATGCAAAATACTCTATTTTTAATACGGCATGCGTTGCGAAGATATTTCTTACATATTTATATGTCTACCACTGAAACCATATTGCAGCTTGTATTTTTGCTATTGGAACCGTACCTTAGATTTCCAACTTAGGTTTGAGCTCTCACTACTTTCATAACGCATCTATGTCTTCATCTGTTAAAGAAAGGAACCTCTCCACTAAATATGGACTTGGGTTTTTAACCAATGTTATCGGGATAACTGTATTTTCTCAACACGTTTCCATGCGTTTTTTCTGTCTATTCAGTGCATTAAGATGAAGAGAGTTTAGCACATGCCAAATGCCAGAACTATGTACATAAATCACAGCTCTGCCAGATACGAGACTCGCTTATTTAAGGACAAACCATACATATTTTATTTTTGAGTGATCACTGCTTATTTACCAGTGCATTAAAAAAAGCTCCATCAATGGCTTTTGAGGTAAAACCCCACTATAAATAAATTTTGGGGTAAAACCCCGTACCTGTAACATTTTTGCTTGCATCTCTTCATGACAGCTTACATGATGTGTGCTTTAAAAAAATAGATAACATATATTTTCTATTTTTCCTGGCCCTCTCTTTATTGCTCTTCTAAAATAGAAACTTCATAAGCAAGCCCACCTCCATGATAAAAATAACACTGAACGGAGAGATTAAAAACGAAACCCTCTACTTTCTGAATCGTGTTATACCACGTTTTGTCCAGCAAACATCATCCAGCACATCAGCTATTACGGGCAGTAAATGCCCGTACAGGAGAGCGTTTTACGTTATGGCCCAAATCTTGCACAAATAAAGCGAGCAGACAGGCAGAGAGCACCCCATAATCAAGAGGCCACAAGCTGCGCAGAGAAAATGCCTTGCGAGTTTCGACTGTGCTAAACAGTGCGTGAGGGGAGGAGGAACCTTTCGAATTCTTTTTGGAGAAGAACTTCAACATGCCATTTGGTACCAAAGGCACAAAGCAAATCTCATCTAGTTAAATGCCAGCTGGGAAACAGCAATGCGTGGGGGAACCATCCTTATACATACAGTTGGAATTAGGGAATCGAAAGAATTCCTGCAACGGGATAAAGGTACCAGTAAATGACACTGCTAGAAACAACAGTCAGAAGCAAAAATACCGTGGAAGCAAGCGTTCGTTCCTTTTGCGCTGTCGTGAAACAAAGTACGTGAAGTACATTGTTTCACACGTGAGATATGAAAGGTTATGTAACGCCATAAGCCAAATCCAAAGCTATAATCTCCAGCCTTCCTTCTCGATCTAAACTGTTTGACTGGTTTTTGACTCGACTCCCACGTTCCTTCTCATAGGCTTACATAATTACTACTCATGACCACTATAATTTATAGCTGTAGAAGCTTATCTCAAGACAGAGTTAAGGCTGAGAGCCTAGGCAATTAAGTACAAAACATTACAGAGATATTAGAATTATTTCAAACAATGGTGCAATCTGTGTGCTGTTGCTATCTAACAGCAAAGGGGAAGCTTATCAACGTCTTCAGCCATTTATGCTTGTTGATGCAGAGCCTCAGAAGCCCTGGCTTTGCGTATGCGAGATGGAAAACAGAAATCTTGTATCAAAAAGAAAATTATTCCTGCGCCAGTCATAGCAGAAAAAAGCACTTTAAATTCATTGCATCAGGAATTCATTACTGACATCAACACGTTTATGTTACTGATCCACAAACATTCTGTACAGCTTTTCTTTAAGTTGAAGCTGCCAATACATAAATATTGAACTTTCACTTTTCTCCTCTCCTAAGATAAGGAAATGTAAGAGAGTTAGTGCGGACATCTGCAGGGCCTTAGCAACCTCAAACGAACCTTCAAATGACAGTTGCTCCTCGAGTGTGTAAGCATCAAAGACGTTTTCTTCTGGTGAAAAGCTTTTTTAAATGCAGAACGTAAGCAGCTATTTATAACTACATGCATCACCTCTGAGAGCTAACTTACTCTTCCCTAAATAGAAAAACTACATAAAAAATGTTTTTATTAAAAAAAAAAAAAAACAAGATGAAAAATTTGAAGAGAATACAGCTCGTTATTAAATTATTACAAAGACTGGTTCGATAAGTAAATCTCTGATATAAGCCTAAACGTCAAAAAAATACTTTCATAATTTGAAATATCCGTTATGCATGAAGAATTAATTGCAATTACATTCAGTTTTAAATAACTATGGTCTGTCCCAACCCCTTTCTTGTATACATACACAGAACGCAGGTGGCAAACAGATTCCCAGAAGGGACACAGCCAAGTTAAACACTTGCTGTGGAGGAGAACAGTGTTTTGGAACATATTTCACACGACAGTTGATACCAGTACTACCAACATATTCAGATAACGCTTTATTTACGTAAAGCTCAAGAGGATTGTCATTTGCTAGAAAAAACAGCCGCTGTATCTGGTGTGGGAGAACAGGCCATAGCATAAGCTGAATTTGAAAACAAAACAAAGTTCTTACCCTCATGCCAAGTACCAAAAAGCCAATCTCTTCCATCAGCGGGTACTTGCTGACCTGCTGCTGTATCTTCTCAGCTGAAGCGTACGGATCGTAACTTTTCTGACCGATTTTCACATCCATTATGCAAGGCTTATTAAACTTACGGGTCACATCTTCCAGTTTTAGATACGTATCTGTGAAAAAGACAACACTTTCATAAACAGTGGGTCAAAGCAAAAGAATTATATTTCTGCTCAGCTTCTGTGGAGGAAAGAGAACGGTTTAAGGCTTAACATCACGTGAGCTTTTAAAAAGCCAACTTTGTCTCTGAACACAGACTAAATCAGTCATTGACACCCACAAATTCTATTGGCATTAAATTCTAAATGCCTTATTGTTTAGAAAACTGTATACAATTAAAGTGTGTTAACATCGCACTCAAATTCAAGTTATTGCCCAGATGAAATTCATTGAGTAGCTTTTATTAAGCCATTAACATATTTCAAATAGCATTAATAAGCACATACAAATGCAAGTTACTACACGGCCGGTTTAGCAATGGAGATGGTGTTTTCTTCCGCTGTGTGAAGGGGCTAGAATTAAAACAGCAATTTTTCTTTGCATCAATTTAAAAATGCAATTAACATTTCAGAGTCCTACCCCATAGGGGCCGAAATGCATCTATCTTTTCCTCTTTTTATCCCACTCCCACCTGTACTCATTTCTCACGGCAGACCTTTTGGTGAAAGCACTCCTCAAATCCTAGGCTGCCTTTCATCCATTTCCAAAAGTCCCTTTGGGAGGGCGGGTGGACCAAAAAACCCCAAGCCCTTGGAGCACCTGAAGATTTAAAGGAACATTCTAAAACCTGGTCAAACTGGTTTACGCTTCTCTGCAGCGTAGGCAAGACACTACTACCAACATGATCTACAGCACCGATTGTCAGAACACAACAAGAAAACAAAACTTGGGTAACCACTTGACTCGCAGATGACTCCGCTGGGAGGAAGCCTACACAGATCTCCAGCCCTTGCCAGGGCGCAACACGCCCCAAGGCAACACACAGCATTAACACACGCCTCCTTCTTCACACCCGCTTCTGCAATTCTACTTGTTAGCAATCATAAAACTTCACGTTAAAGTTTGTTTTTTCTTTCAAGTACAGCCTATTCAATGAGCGTATTTCTTTGGCTTCAGTGTAATCTGAATACACAGAAACATTGTATTATTACCGATTCCTGCAGCATGATCTAAAACGGGATTGCCAAAGAAAGCAAAACCAGTTCAAGTTTAAAGAGAGAAGAGAGTCAAAGTGCCTTGTTTTGATAGCTGTACAGGCAGGTAACAAAACCAGTTAGAATCAAAAGAAAGGGAACAAGCAATGTCCCATTTCTAACTAACAAGTAGAAACACTTTCTTAAAGATAAGAAACGAACCGGATTTTATTACTTTAGTAAGTCCTACTTAGAGCGTCAATTTTTACACCACGATGATCCAATGTCCCAATTCCCCAAAGTACGTATGTATTGATCTGAAATAGGTTTGGTTTAATCCTTCGCTGCCTGCTTTATGTATAAATGGGAGTAAGCATGCTGTTAATCAGGGAAGCAGGTCAAACTAATACACTATTGAAAAAATATCCAGTTTTCTACTAACTCACTGTATCAGCTTGCGTTACTTTTCACTGTCCTTTGGGCTACAGCATCAATCTAGCTACAGCAAAAAGAGTTTCGTTATAGACTAGCTCACCCATAAACCAGGTTTGTTAACTACAACTGCAGGGATATCCGAGCTAAAATAACTCATGCTTAACTTTGAGGAGGCACAGGCAGCAAACATCTTCGGGATCTGCTCACGAGATATCCCTTAAGGAGAAGCGGGACGAATACTCTCCCTACCAGGAAATGTATTCTGTATCGCTTGGACTGCAGGAGCCGCTTTTCCTATTCAAAGTTTTCACACGCAGGTCTAATTCAGTCAGGTATTAGCACAGCTCCAAAAATGGCTGCAATCCTTCGCCACCAACTCCAAAATGCTTTGGATTATGTTACGAGCACCTCCAGACTCAAACTGTTACAAATACAAAATTATACAAATGGCAAGTTACCACAAATTATACAAATTGTTTAGACATAATGTTTTTATCAACCCTAAAAATATAACTGTATATAAAGTAGTGTAAAACATCTATTTCCGTAATGCAACAAAGAGTCAACCCATAAAAACAACTAGCTTAAAAAGCAGAACTTAAATCTCCCAAAACCTAGCGTATTTCCCTTCAGACAACACGCAGGCAAGAGAGTCATGCTCTTTCCATCTAAGGCATTTACAGAGCACCTGTGGTTACTCCCTGTCCTCTGCTCCGCTGGTCCAAATCTCTTTTTAAACATACAGCACCAACTTTCAGCACCTCCAAAATACTGAACAGTTCTAAGTACCTGTCACTTTGTAGTCCCCCATCCATTTCAGATCCGTTAAGCCAGAATATCTCCCTTACTGACCTCCTAAAAATGTAACAATTGCTATTTTTAAAAAAAATAAGCATTAAAATAACTCAGGAGCTAATGCTAACCCTGGGAAATACTAATGACTTGGCAAGGCCTGAGAAGTATCCAGAAATTACTCCTCTCTCTCACACTTTTTGCAATTATTATTTAATTTTTCATCATTAGCTAACTGCTGGCTCAGAGTTATGACTACGTTAAATCTGTTCAATGCACACCCCCACTCTCAAAAAGCTTTTTGTCCTTGTGGGGAGAGCAATGCCACCGCAAATAAAGCATTACACCAAGGGTTTTTTTTCATTACAGCTTCAGAAAAAAATGCATCGAGCGTTTACGCTTCGTTTTTCCTGGCAGCGTTTGGTTCTTATTTGCATTGTGCTCATGATGTATGGACTACTGAAACAGACCCCCAAACCCCCAGTATCAGAAGGTACCACAGCTTTAAACAGCGAACCCCCACTATACCTTGAAGCATTAAGACTAAGGCAAACAAAGTACGCTGCAGACTCAGGTGCTCTCCATAGTCTCTGAGGATCTGACCCCAAGGTCAGCAATAAGCCTGCAGCTGAGCTTAGATAACGAGAGCACTCTCCTTCCTCATTTTGTTAAACAAACAAAAAAAAAGGCAGATTTTTCAAGCAGTTCAGATTTTCTAAATTATCATGGAGTGCACTGCTAACCCAACGTGCTTCTGAAAACCATGCATTCACCATCTAAAACCAGGTTAAATTAAAATCCCCTGCAGAGAAAAGAATTCATAAGGATTTTTGTATCTCAGCTTTCGTAGATAATCCTGACTATATATTTCAAGGATTTAAACAAATCATTCCTCAGAGGCTTGCCCTCCCCTTTTTTATTTTTCAGTAGCAGGGAGGGAGGCAGGAAAATGTGGCTTGACATATTATTTACATATTTTATTACAGTCCCAAAGGAGACAAATCAAAAGACCACCAAAATTCAGCAAGTATGCGTGGCATGAACCACTGCAGACTTCAGCACGTACATGCTGATGCATTCAGTCCTCACTGGAATAAGAAGTGACAAAATAACTTGAGGCATCTGACTTCTTCTCATAACTTACAAGACATCTCTCAAAACATATGAATAAGCAGGGAAAAGCCTCAGTTGCTCCCAGCAACGAGAGAAGAAAAGAAAGGTTTGAAGCTGGCTTATATTTATCTACCCTGTTCTCAGTTTAGGCAACAAAAATTAGAGCACAGTGTGAAATGAGCAGCAGTAAAGTTACTTTAAAAAAAAAATATGCAGAGGCAACAAGTAGGCAGCAAAACCCAGAACTCGCAGCAGGAGATATAAAAAGCTTAACATGGCTCCTACATCTTTATAACAACTTTTCCACTTCGTTATTAATAAACTCGAAATGCCCACAATGCCAGTGAACCCAAAGTTCAAATCAAATTGTCTCACTCTCATTTTAGATTAGCTTAGGGAGGTGCAGTGTCGTCCACTTTAACTCCAGCTCCTGTGCAGTAGTACTCAGTATGTGATTTCAGAGTAACAGGACAGTTATTTTACAAATTGTAGTGATACTGTGAACATCAGACCATCTTTTCTGTCACGCTTCCTATATTCTCATTTACACTTAATACACTGCACCCCTTCTAGCTTGCAGTTTCATCCGCTCATCTACATTTTCAGCATAGAAGTCTGATGCTTCTCCCTAAATGTTTCTCTAAGAAAATAAACTCCTTGTGCTCTCTGCCTTACCCACCACAGTTCCTGCTTACCTGTCACATGGAAACTCAGATGCAGTCACAGATCAAGTTCAGAATGGTCCTAAATTAAGTTACTCTGTTTTATTTCTACCACAAGCCTACGATTCTCTTCACGTCTGCATGAACCTACTCAAACTCTCAACCCTCTACCCAAGGTTAACAACTGCGATGCTACACATACAAGACACCGTTCACCAAAGAGCTCTCCTTCTTCCTTATCTCATAAATGAAAGAACTTTATATGAAAAAGGGTCACCGGTGACCATCCTCTCTCTGCCCTGGCAAACCAGGCAAGTTGGTGTTCCTCCATGCAAACGCTCTTAAAAAATATATATATTTCAGAACGTGCAGCAAGCACAGTTTGGTAACTGAAAGATTGTTTAATTTAATTTTTGTTTTTTTAGAAGTCACCTATGTGCAATTTAGCAACAATAAGGAATTATTGGGGTCACTACTCGGAGGCTGTCTAGAGCCGGTTCCCAGAGCCTGTAGAGCAGCGACTGCCAAGGGAAAGATCCGGCTTCCAATGTCAAGCCTGCAAAAACCTACAAATACATCCTCAATCTAATCTTAGTAACTAGATACCTTTCTAGCAGCTAGATTCTTTCCTCTAATGTCACTGGGAAACGCCACAGCAGCTGAGCATATTGTTCAATCTTTTGAACTAGAGCTTAGTTCACAGCTAATCTGGGGACTCACATCCAATTTCTCCAAAACAGCCTCCCCTCCATCTCCCTTCTCTGTGCGGTTACCTCCCCTCTTCCTATTTTTCCAAAACTTGGATTTCCTACTTTTTACACAGTCTAAATGCACCACTGGTGATTCTTTTCCCCTCTGGGGTCTTCTGGTGCTAAGTACCGATGCACAGAGAGGTTCTCCTTCATACCTGTCATTAGCAAAACGGCACTTGCAAAAATACCTGCCAACCAACAGATGACTTCCAAGGTGAATGGCTGCCTCCTTAGCTTTGGATGTACCCAGCTCCATTATCTCCAATGCACCTGATTTCTATCAGGGCTACCCAAAATTCATTAAACTACAGATAACAGAGTTGGCAATGGGAGTGTTTTGTTTGAATCCCCGCCATAGCTCTCCATGAAGAGGGTTCCTGACAGTGCATAGTCTTTTCAAGAAGCAAAACAAAATCAAAAGTTACTCTTGCTTTATGCGGCTCTTCCTACTGGCTACGCCTAGACTACTGGTGGAGACCTGCCAAAATTCAGCCCAACGGTGCACAGTGCTAGCTAGTGAATTCCCAAGGTAAACTAGGGATGTGTTGAATTACTGTATCTTGGCTAGACCACCTATTTTTACATCTTAAGATCCTGCTGTGAATAGAAAAAAATTGATTTGCAGTTTAGAGCAGACATGAAGTGAGCTCCATGACACGTATAAAATTATGAGGGAAGGAAAGAGACAGCTCTGGTAGAGCTATTTGAGTTAGTGCCAAATATGAAAGTGTGAAGGCAAATCTGAGCCAAGCCAGTGCTGGGTCCTACCACAATCCTCCTTGCGTTTCTTTTCACAGAGTTTAGATAGTGTCTTTGGACACCATCTTACTACTGTCTTTGGAAAACAAGTCTATTAAGTGGCAGCATAAGCAAAAGACAACAGAGTTCTATTAAAGGAGCACAGTGTCTAGTTTTGGTGCATTTAAATAGACTGACAGCGTCCTTTTGTTTCTGGATGTTTCAGTAGCTCCATTTCCCCAGTATGAATAAGAAAGAGCAGAAGAAAAACTAGTTTCTGTTTTAAATACATTAGTAATACCTGTTTTCTCTTGAAGATAAAATCTTCCGATTGTCCTCCAAAAATACCTTTTTCTTCCTGACTCCTAACTTGTAATACAAACACAAAGTTACGATACCAGAGCTTTGTTCTGTTCAAACCAGTAAGAGAAGATGACAAGCAAAGAGCCCCCTCTGCTGAAGTAATTGCTTTCTATATGGCACAGTGATGGGATCCAATCTCCGGAGATCCAGTAGCAGATTCCGGTTTGAACGCCTCCCCTTAGGCCCCAACCTATCAAATTTTTCTTCCTTACACACCCACACAGCGCCCGTCTCTTGCTCTGATGGCCTGACCAGCCATAAACATGCAACCAGCCCGCTCCTCCGACATGACCCCAGCTGGAGCAGCAGCTCGGAGGCAATATGCATCAGGTCTGGCTACTCAGGACCCACGTGCGGCACAAACGGCCATGCCCCATCTGCCCTGGGAGGAAGAACCCAAAGATCTAATCCAGCCAGAGGACTGCAAACTGGAACTGATTGTTAGAGGGAACATTAATGGAACATTACAAAACAAAACCAAAAAACCACCCCAAAACCAAAACCCTACAGAGCTCGCAACTGCCAAAAATCAGTCTCCAGAAGATTTTTCCAGGAGGTTTGGATTAACAGATAAAAATAGAACAATACCATTTGGTGCAGTAGGTGGTGACCAGACACCGAAGTATTTTGGCAGATATTCCCGCAGCTCCAGAAGAATGCTGTCGCAACAGTCAGAGTCATAAACCTGAAATAAATTAAGGAGGGGTGGAGAGATCATCAGTTCAAAACATTCATTTTGTACTTCCAATTGTCCTCTAATTATCATTTCTTACAGGCTTTGTTTCCATGTGTTCAAGATTTCTACTTTACATTTAAAAAACATACCAGATGAAGATGATAATTATCACAGTCCAACATGAATGAATGGTACCCTTTCTTTCAAATTTTAAAGTGGAAAAGATGAATCAACTCTAACTACAAATAATGTATGGCTTAACTTGAATAAAAATCTAAACTGTATCTGTTAACACTGAACCTTATTTAGCAAAATGGGTGTTCTCCCATCCTGGATCCAAGACTGTATAGGATTACTACATCGTATTGTATATCCAAAGCTTTTTAAGTTACATCAAGTGAAGTATACAAGCTCAGACTGGATATTATTTCCTCATTTCCTCCAAAACAACTCATCCTGTAACTACATCACACAGACAACACACAATTCAAGTGTATTTTTTTTTTTTCATTTGCTTTAATGCGTTCAACATCTTTTTCAACTTCGGAAAAAAAAAAAAAAAACCAAAAAAAACCAAGAACAGTTTGGGAACAGCAGCTGGCTTATATTCCTGAAGGAGTAATTCTTTGCAGCGTTAAAACCAAGCCTTCGATACTATCAGCTACTGAATCGCATGACTGTCACCAGTGTGCAGTGTTGTTGTGAAGAGGGTTTCAAAACCATTCCCTCGACCAGATTCCCCCCATCCCGCCCAAAGATCTCCTTACGGATAGCCTCCAGCACAGCTCAACGGCTCTACAGACTAAAAGATCCACATCCACATGAGTAAGAGGTTACAATGGTTGTTACTACGTTTAAGAACTATCTCGTCCTAATCCCCTTGCAGCTATCCTGGTTCTGATGCTATCAGGCTGGCGTCCTGTCCCTCAGCCCCGCAGTGGTTGCACAGCCATACCCACAGACGACGCCACGTACGAGTGGCCGGGACAAGCTAACAGTTCTGCTTTCACTTCAGCACGCAACGCACAGGACTGCAGTCAGAGCCCACTGCGAAGTCAGGAACAACGCAAAAAAGTTATTTAAGGTGTTAAGAGAGCTCTGCAGAGTTGGCTCAGCTCACTGCTTCGAGATCCACATTTAACCACAGCCGGAGAATATCCTGTGATGGAAACTACAAAGGGTAGGTATCCCAAAATACGTGCCTTTAGCATTGGAATATTAATACATCTAGGGAGGAAAAAAACCCCAAACCTGAAGTCCAGCCACTATTTTAGAGCACCAAGGCAAGCCTCAGCTCTGATCAACGATGCCATGTAACTCTAGACAGAGCCTCATGCAGCAGCAGAACGTTAAAATTAGTCGATGCGGGTTTGTGCTAAATTTAGGTTTCATCACAGAAACCTCAAACTGGGTAAACTCAAATCACCAGCGTGCTTCAAATGCACAGCGGTGTTTCACAGCCCTTCGGGCACATCTAATCCGGGGCTCTCCCAGGCTTGTACCAGCCACAATTCTGACACTGTTGCTGGGCAGTGACCGAGAAGGTGATACAACCAAATCCACGCCGACTTTATGCTAGAGCATTTAATTTGACCCATTCCCTTAAGTAGCTCATGGCATAAGCCCCATTTTAAAGACCCTAAGAAGGGGGTTGAATCCCTAAAGCTCAAACCACACAAATACGCGCGCAGCGTGATGCAAAACACTGACATACACCTACCGCCACAGCCTCCACCACTACTGTTGATATCTTAAGTGTACAAGAGTTGCTGGGCGTGTATCTTACAAGTCACAGTGCCACATCACAGGGCTCTGATCTCTTTTCACACGTCCTGGTTTGACAAGCTGGTATCCCCTCTGCGGACTACAGGTAATTGTACGCCTAGGCCTGGTTTTCCTCCGTGTTAACCCAAGCTGGTATGCTGATATTCTCATGCTCTAAGACAGAAAACCTTGCTTGTCCCTCGGATCAGTGGCTGCTGTGTAATTTTATTTATGCACCATTTCTTTGCTGAGCCTCAGATGTTGCCAGCAGAAAACAGTGCTTTCTTCAGAAGACTGCGCCATAGTTTGATCTTACTAGCTTAAGGAAGAAAAGAAAAAGAAAATTAAGGGTGGGAGAGAAGAGAGAGTGAAAACTTAGCACCACACAGATGCTGTGGCACAGACCCATCCACTGCTATCTTTTAGAAGAGAGTTCGCTATTCCCCACCGTACAGACAGCTGTTTCTGGGCCAGGACTCCAAGCACTGACTGGTGGAACTGTGGGCATTTTCATACAAGCAGTACAAACCCAATTCAATTTCTGTTTACTGTGGTAATTTATTATCATAGCACCTCACAGCCAAGACAGGGAATTGCACTGCACCCAGCACAAATGCTCTTCTCCCAGGTGCACTTACGTAGATCTGAGAGGCAGCGACCATCATGCAGTATCACAGCCTTGACACGGGAGCCAGTATATGTGTATTTAGGACAGGACAAAGAGGAGAGAGATGGAAGCAAAAAAGTGCAGCAGACAAGGAAGAGAAACACTGAATGCAACTGAAAAAACAGACAAACATAATAAGAACTTGTTTGCTTAATTTATTGGCAAAAAGAAGGACTCTGCGAAAGCGACATGGCAGGAGACCGGGTCTATTTTTTTTAAAAACAGACAGTACTATTGCTTTGACTAACTTTTTAATCATCAACGTTAGGGTCCAGTAGTAAACACTCAGTGAGTAACTACAAGTATGCTCCTGTGTATTTCAAATAGTAGGATACAATAAAGATATTCAGATAATTCATAATGGGGTGTAATAGCCCAAAGTCCAGGCCAAATGGGGAAAACAGCTCCAGGAGTCGTATCTTCCCAGTAGTCTGTCCTTTAATACACTGATATAAGACATTTTAAGTGGAGACAAAACTCACAGTAATGCATTGTTCAGTATCATTACTTCAGCATAACAGAACTAAGTGCATTATTTCTCTCTCAAGAGTTATCTTGCTCCTAGAAACAGTAATAAACTCCCCTCATAAGTTTGACGTAACATATACAAAGCACTTTATTTGACCTTAATATAGACCTCAATCTCAGCCTGTAATGTATTTGCATGTCAAACAAGAATAAGCACTCAGTTAATAAAGATCAGAGGAAGTCATTTGGTGTGGGCAAAGCAAGAAAACCAGATATTTCAGGAATTAATGCTCATTAGAAAGGGGCCTCATAAACAGCACCCATGCCACGGGCATATCTTCTCATTTCATACAACCTGGTAGCAAGCTACACATTTAGATGTCATTCAGAATGCCAAATGTAAACGCATACATGAGAAAAATCACCCTTACAATTACACAGGAAATAAACTGTGCACTTCATGCCCCAAAAGGTACCAATGTTGCTGGAAAACTCATGGAAGAGACAGGTTATCACTTAACCCAGAACAACCCTCGGAAATAAACCATTATATTTTTACTTATATCAGCAATATTCCAATTTCATTTCAAGCACCTGTGCTTTTTTTTTTTTTTCTTTTTTAATGCAACAACAGGTCCATTTGTCCAGCATACACTGACAAGTATAAGTTATTTCTGCTTTATGGGTAACTGTACATAACGTCTTCATCCAACAAATCAAGAACTGCAAAACAATTCAGAGTCAGCTCAGCCAAGGGAGGTATCTATTCTACGTATCGCAGGCTACGTTCTTCCAACAGCACAAACTGGAGACATAAAATGTAATAACCGTTGGGCTTAAAAGCAAGTAAACAGGATGCTAACATTTGGAGGGCTCACAACAGGACCATTACAAATTACAGCAACTAACTCATAGGAAGAATATGCCCCAGATATGTCCTGTGGCAGCTCAGATAGTCTAGTAGACACCATGAAGTCATAATTTCCAGTTACTCAGGACTTTTTAATTCCGAGGCAAATTTACCATCCTCTAGTTTTTAATCCAAAGTACACTCTGTTTGTTTTGGTAAGTCTGATCCAAACAGATTCATCTGTTTTTTAATGCAAACAGGGACTGCTTGGGAGAATGGGAATGTTCTTTTCCTTACTTAAAGCAGGATGACATCAGGGTTGTTTTTTTTGTTTTCTTAAGACTAGCTAATCACATAAACGACAGAGGGAGGGCAAAACAAATGTTTAAACTTCAACAGGAAACTAGTTCTGGCAGTACAGACCCATCTTCAATTGTCCTGATGAATATATACCACTTAGAAACGTAGTCTAAAGAGAGTCTTCTGAAGTACATAAAAGAGTTGATTTAAAAGAATATGTATCTTAAATTTGCATTTATTTTAAAGCTGTTTGAGTAGGAAACTTTAAATGCCAGAGTAGGCATGTCAGTCTGAAGCATCCCTAAACGGACAGTAGCACTATGGCTTGCCGAGCCCCAGGATACACAACCAGCTGCCAACATCAGGCAGAGTTCAGTTTCCAGCATGGTTTTGGGGGGATTCTTGAGGAGTGGGGAGCAGTTAATAAGTGTAGCGCTCAAATTAGCAAATGCAAAATTTACAGATGATAGTGCAGCCTTAATTCTGTCTCCTAATGTGTATGCATTACATTACAGACTTTAATTACCTGAGCACACACTGCATTTCCCTCCGGACTCCTATATCACCTAGTTACACCATGCAAGTACAAGGGCCAAAAAATTGAGGTTGAAACAGCAGCTGTGAATTTAGCAATTCATAACTCAGATCGGCCTTGCTTCTTTCTCAAAGTAGTACCATCCTGTTTTGACGTGCGAATGTCCGCAGTATTTGTTTCCACAAATACAACTGGAATTGAACCAGCCCTGCTTACATTCAAAATATCTGATAGGAGCACAATTCCAAAAGTTAAATATTTGTGAATTATGTTACACTAAATGCTATTATACTGAATTGCTTATTTTACTATCCAATATACAGCCATACTATACATGAAACTGTAACCATTATTCTCACAGAAGATAACTACAGAAATACCAAAAAAACAGCTTAAAACAAATCAGGATATATTCCCACAATCTG